GGTCCTTTTCCATTAAGCTGCATCAGTTTATTTGATTAGTTTCTTGAAACCAAGATCCCAAAAGGATGACTTTCAGGGAAGGATAAGAAGAGGGATGGAGTGTGTGGTAGGAGCACAGCCATGGTAATTCCTGGGTGTTGGTGGGTTAGAGAAGATAGAACTAATAATGATATAAGGCATGAGGGGTGTGGTGAGCTAAAAACTGGTCCACGTCAAAGCTATCCACGTCAAATCCCAGAAACCTGTGAGTGTGACTTTATTTGGTGAAAGGGTCTTTGCAGATGTAATTAAGTTGAAGATTTTGAGATGAGATCATTCTGGATTATCCAGATGGGCCCTAAATGTAATGGCAAGTGTCCTTATAAGAGGCACACAGAGGAGAACAGACACACAGAATCAGAGATGATGTGCCCACAGAAGCAGCGATTAGAGTGATGTGGCTACAATTTGGGGATGGCCAACAACTGCCAGAAAGTAGAAGAGGCAGGGAATAGAATCTCCCCTGCTTGCCAAATCCTTGATTTTGGACTTCTGGTCTGTGAGAGAATAAATTTCCGTTGTCTTTAGCCGTGCAGTTTGTGGTAATTTATTACAGCAGCCTTAGGGAACCAAAACAAGGGGGAAGAGCCCTGAAGGGCAACAGTGAAGCAAAACCTTAGCCGCTTTAGGGTGTTACCCAGAGCCCTCCCTGACTGGTGTTTCCCATGGCAAAGGCGCAGTGGGAGCGCCAGCCCTGAATGTGGCAGGGGTTTGGAGAAGCCCTTTATCCTGTATGGGATTCCTGGCCCCAGCTTAGGTTGCTTCCCTGTCCTCAGCAACAACCCTTGACATGTGGAACGTGAGCTGTCTGTCCTTCCCACAGGCCACCGAGGCAGAGTGCTGCACCTGGCTTTGAGTCCAGACCAGACCCGGGTTTTTTCTGCCGCAGCTGATGGCACAGCCTGTGTGTGGAATTGCTGCTAGTCACTCAGCCCCTCTCAGCTCCAGTTTCCTCATTTCTATGTGAGAATAATGATGTTGGCCTTGCCTCCTCCATGGCTTTGTCATGAGTCTCGAACAAGATGACGTGCTTTCCTGAGGTGAATGCCTGTTCTCCTGACCTTCCTTCTCAGGTTACTTTACTTGCTCTGCTTCGTTCCATCGCATTTCCCAGACACTGTCTTTGACTCTATGCTTCTCTCTCCGATTTCCTCCTCCTCTTCCCCTTTTCTTCTTCTCTCTCTGTCTTTTCCTCGTTAGAGGTGCATTTTCACTGCTATAGTCACAAGACTATCTACAGCAAAGATTTCTAAACGCTTCTTTGTCCCTCGACTTTTCTCCCAAGCTCCAGCCTCATACTTGTCTGTCTCTGGATATTTCTTTTCTGAGATACTTTTTTGTGTTTAGCTCAAACTCAATACATTAAAAACACAACTTATTCACTTGAAAAACATTGATTAAAGTGCTACTCTATGTTAAGCATGCATATTATTTCCTCTCAAAAAGAGGACTTCTGTGAGACTCTCTTTTCTCTTATCATGGTGTCATCTTTGTCCTGGTCCTCCCATTACTCAGGGAGCCTCCTGGTTATTCAGGTTACCCCTTGTTCTCTGTTTGTTGTTTTACCCTAGTATTGTCCTGCATACCTGATGACCAGTTTGTGGTAACTGCCTTCTAACTGGCTTCCTGTCTTTATTCTTCATGGGTCTCCACGTTACTGCTAGGTTACATTTCTAAAATCATCGTGCTGGTCCTCCCGTCCCCTGCTCATAGACTCTCAATGACTCCCATGACCTAACCCCCTAGGCCTCCACCTCGGAGTCCTGAGCCCAGAACCTGAAGCTGGGGACCTGTACCAGTTATGGCTCTGACATAAGCTTGCTGAGTGACCTTGGGTATGTCACAACATTTGCAAGAATAGGAATTTGGATTTGATAACTGCTAAGGTTTCTTCAAGCTTGATCAGGCCACTGTTCTATCTTTTTAACGTTAATCCTCACTCCCTCCTGTGTTAACCCTGGGCTAAGTCTTGTGATTTCCTGCCTTATGCTTTTGTTAGACCTCTTCTTTCTAGTCTGGAATTCCTGCTCCTCTCTTCTTTCGCTTTGCACCTTCACGTAAGTCCCGACTTCTCCAGGAAGTGTTTTGAAATGATGTTACCTGGCTTTAACTCTTGGCATCAGTCTGTATCACCTACTTTGTGTTAATATAACTATTCTAGTTGTTTTAAAAAAATCTTTTATTACTATGTGAATCTTTGTTTATTTAAGTTTTAACATGCTTATTTCTTCCGGACAATTCAATTGAGGAGTTGAGGGATATTGGCCTTGCCTTCTCCATGGTGTTGTCACGAGGCTCAAACAAGATGACGTGCTTTTTAGTGTCAAGATGTTATATTTTTTAGTGTCCTTTGGAATGTTTTGCATGTGTCAGCTAACATATGTTGATTAATTTACTTGCTTTGTCATAAATGTTTTTTACCAATACATACACACTCCCTTAATACCCCTCCTCAAAAAAAACCAAACAAATAAAAGCCTTGATAATTGAAAAGTGGAATAGTAAATACAAGGGGTGTTAGGACTCTCCTGACAAGTTGCCATACATTCTGTTCTTTTCCCTGTATTTAAACTCAGAAAATCTGCTTGGTAGTGCTAGTAATTTTTACCTTATAAAATTTTAGGTCACCAAAAGCTGCAAATATGCTACATTCCTGCAATACACACTCTTCTTCTTTAAGAAAATGGGTTTCATTTGATCTTAGTTAGCCAGGTATAAACTATAAGAAAAAGTTTAGCAGGGAAAGGAGCAAAATGCTGAGGCCACTTCCAGTGTCCCCCACCATTTTGCTGTGGTTACTTGTATCTTAGCAATCTCACGGCACTATGACATGACCAAAGATCACTTCTCTCAATTAATACTGGTGTGTGAACTAGGCTCTCATTTAAGAAAAATAGCAATATATCTTTTACTACTGTTAGTTTTGGTGGAAGTCTGGAATATGGTTTCAGTAAAGAAAAAAATGAACTTACGGATAATACACAAAACAGAAGCCTCTGCTACAAAAATTTTGTAATATAAAATTTTTATTGACTAACAAGTCATATAAAGCACATAAATCTTAAGTGTACAGCTCAGTGAGTGTTTAATTTATGAATAAGATCAAGATCATATGAATAAATCATCTAGATCAAGATGTGAACATTTCTTTCACCCCCAAAGACTACTTTGTGTCCACTCAGTCAATACCCCTCCATTATTCTGACCTCGGTCACCATGAATTAGTTTTGCCTCATGCCAACCTTCAGATAAGTGTAATCATACCGTAAATATTCTTTCTTTCTTTTCTTTTCTTTTCTTTTTTTTTTTTGGTCTGGTTTATTTTACTCAACCTTAGATTTGTAAGAGTAATTCATATTGTTGCATTCATGCATGACACAGGCATGTAGTTTGGTCTTTTTCACTGCTGTGTAATATTCCATTGCATATACAACAATTGTTTATCCATTTTATTATGAATGGATATTTGAGTTATTTTCAATTTTGACTTTTAAGAATAGAGCTGCTATGGACATCCTCAAACACGTATTTGGTGGGAAAAAAGCCCTCATTTCTGTTTGGTATATACCCAGGAGTAGAATTGTTACGTCATAGCATAAGTGTTCATTCAGTTTTATTGGACACTGCCACTTTTCCTAAGAAGCTCTACCAATTTACACTTCTACCAGCAATGAACAAGGGTTTCATACAACTCTTTTTAAGTGGACTTCAAAATCTGTAATAAATGTTGCCAGTAGGGAATACTCCATCCATCCTCTTATTGCTATTAAAATCCTAATTAGGGATTATAGCAGGCATCTAAAATATCCTCTTAGAGCATCTCTTTTAGATATCAGCATGAGACTTCACTTTCTAATATAGGGGTTCTCATCCCCAGCTGCATATTAAAATCACTGGGGAGCTTATAAAAAGAATACTTTGTCTTGGTTCTCATCAAATTAAATAAAAATTTCTAAGGGTGAGACCTGAGCATTGGTCATTTTAAAGAGCCTGGTAAGTCTAATGGGCAGCCATGGTTGAAAACCAAAGGACCAGTATTTTGGTCAGTCTTTAAGCTATGTTCCCTCATTTGTTGTAAGAAGCTGTCTCTTAGTGTTGCTGTATGTTCTTGGTTTGGATGTACCGTGCGTGTGTGTATGTATATGTTTATGTATGTATACATGCACACACATATAAGGTTTATATTCCAAAAGGAACTGATGGAAATCAAAGGAATCTGTTCACATAATCTCATCTTCAAGTGGCTACTGGGCCGATGACTATCCACTAAGTTCAATACACTGAATAAATATGTTGAGTTTTTTCCCAAAGGAAAATTTCAGGCCACGATTCAACACTCACTCCCTAGTATGAGATGGCAGTCACTGTAACCACCATGTTGATTAGACCTACCCAGACTCAAGGACAAGGGGAACCAAGAAATCACCTAGATAATCCAAGGCTTAAATTCAAACTACTGAGAAAGGAGACTGACTTGCCTTGTATCCTTTTTTTGGCTAGCTAAGTGCCTCATTAATATCCCCTAGAATTTTAATTTCTGTTTCTCACCTGCCTTTGGAAAATACTGTAAGGCATTTTCTGTTTCTGCTTCTCCCATTGACTCAGGTTCTTACATATAAATCTGAATAGCAGGTGTTGATGTGGAACAATGGCCTTTGAAGGGCAAACATTTCCCTTTAATCCAAATGCTCCAGACTGACTGTTTCTGTTTCTTGCAAAATTGCTGAGCCCTTCACTGTACTTGTTACTAGACAGACTGACCTTAGTGTCTCTCCTGCTGGGCCCCACTGAGTCAGTGAAGTGAATATTTCAAGCCAAGTTTGCATGTCACTTGTCACATGGATGACACAGGTGACATTGGTCCCTGATCTCTCCTTTGCATTATCCACAAGGTCTCTATATTACTCTGGTTCACTTTGCTGGTGGAGATCTGCCTGCTAAAGTTATAGGAGAGCAACAAGTACAGTGATACAAATTGATTTTATTTATGATGAAATTAAGACATGACAGCAGTGGGCATATACCCGGAGAAAACCATAATTCAGAAAGATACATGCACCTCAATGTTCATTGCAGCACTGCTTACAATAGCCAGGACATGGAAGCAACCTAAATGTCCATCAACAGAGGAATGGAGAGAGAAGATGTCGTACATATATACAATGGAATATTACTCAGCCATAAAGAGGAACAAAATAATGCTGTTTGCAGCAGCATGGATGGACCTAGAGATTGTTGTACTGAGTGAAGTAAGTCAGACACAGAAAGACAAATATCGTATAATATCGCTTATATGTGGAATCTTAATAAAAAAGGGTACAAATGAACTTATTTACAAAACAGAAGTAGACTCATGGATGTAGAAAACAAACTTATGGTTACCAGGGGATAAGGGGCGGGAGGGATAAATTGGGAGATTGGGACTGACGTATACACACTACTATATATAAAACAGATAACTAATAAGAATCTGCTGTATAGTACAGGGGACTCTACTCAATACTCTGTAATGGCCTATATGGGAAAAGAATCTAAAAAAAAGGAGTGAATATATGTATATGAATAACTGATTCACTTTGCTGTACACCTGAAACTAATACATCATTGTAAATCAACTATACTCTAATAAAAAATGAAAAAAAAAGAAGCAACAGCAAATGAAATGAAATACGGTTATCTAAACTGCATGTTTCATAGTCTTAGCTATCCAGCTGAGGTGTTTCTTTGAGAGAAGAGTATAGATGCCAGGTCCTCGAGGGTCTCCGCATTTCCCTGGAAGGCCAAAGGCAGTGATGCCTCTGAAAATGCCTTCACATATCAAAGGGCTTCCAGAATCTCCCTGGGGGAAAACAAGAGGAATGTTGAAGACCAGCATCAAATATGACCACTAGCAGAATGGAAGAAATTCCATTTAATGTGGAGCACTTAAGGTGAAGTTAAGACCAACCTTGACTTACTTGACAATTAGTGCTTAAAAAACCAAAATGTTTGGGAATATTCAATAATATGTTCAAATTGGTTTTCTCGATTTGTTTATGAAGCAGTGAAAATTGAAACTTGTATTATTGTTTGTGTGATCCACTAACTTTGAGACAAATTCTCTGCTTTAGAAACTCTCCTGTTTGTCATTTTCTCAAAATGTTTCATAGCCCAAGGGATAAAATAGTCAAATACAGATTGGCCACTGAGGCAAAGAATAAAAGCCATGTTTTCTAGTTCCTCCAGCAGAGAATTGTCTTCCCAAAGGAACAAAACCGAAGCAACCTTTTCCTTCCCCTTCTCAAATAGACAGAAATTGCTACCTCGAGTCTCCTTTTTTTTTTTTAATGAGAAAGAAACATTTAATGAAATAAGTTATACAACAGTATCTCTAAAGAGTGTATGGAACGTGAAAGACTCAAAATAAAATTCAACTCATCAATACAGTAATCATTGAAGAGAAAATTACATTTTAAAACTTGTGTTGTTAATCTGCCAGTCTATCACCCTATATAGTATCAATGAACATTAAAATTAGACCTTGGAGGTCAATTCCTTCAAACTCCCACAAACACCATTCTTCTCTAGCAAATATCGTTCATTTAGTCAATATTTATGGAGCATCTACCATGTGCCATGTAGTCTTCTAGACACTAGGACTAAATCAGTGAACAAAATAGACAAAAAGAAAAAAAAATAGACAAAAAGTACTGCTCTTGTGGAATTTACATTATTCTTTGCTTTTCCTCCCGAGTCTCCTTAGAGCATCTGATGCTAGATGGATGCTCCCGGAAGTCAGTGATAACACTTTGGAACTGCCTGGTTCCACTAGGAGGGAGGCTTCAGCCAGCTGTAAATCATGCTTTATTCTTGTGCGTGAGCCACCCAATATGTGACCTTGTATTCTCTCAAGGAACTTTAGAATCAGCATATTTAAATGTATTTAAGGTCTAGAGACCAGATTGGCTGTTTCCGGCTTTAGGGAGGATGGGTGGTGCCAGACGAAGGGCTGTTGAGGCTTGTACACAGAGTTCTGCAAATGCAAGGCTCTGGGGGCTCAGCTCCATCCCAGTGAAGTGAGAAGTGACAAACCAGTGCTCAGAGCTTAAACCTTTGTCAAGGGTTCTTCTACTCCTATCTTTAAGTAGGGCCCAGTCCCAGCCCTTCTCAGGGCATATGGTAGGCAGGCTTGTGTGTACTTTGGAATGGATCATGTTTGGAAGTTGTTTCCGGGGGTTGAGCTCAGCTCTAGGAAGCTATGGGGTTTACCCCGGAGATCTTCAGTCTGTCTTGGGAATGCAGGCACTTCAGACTTACCTGGTTAAATGGCAGAGGAATTTTTGGGGGGTGATCAGATGGGGAAAACGTACTGAAGGCCCTAGAGGAACTCTGACTTTAGCTCTCCTCAGTGTTATATATTTTTCAGTTTAGATCTATATATGTTAATATGAAAAATGAGAAAAAAATAGCTTCTTAGTGGTTTACGATATAAAATCAAGAAGATGTAGTTGTTCAATCCAGGCACTAGCATGGTTTATGATGAACAACTCACCTGAGCTGAGAACATTAATTAATTTGACTGGAGCTTTATCAAACTTCTTTTTAAAAGCACTAGGACGCTGTAGAAGCCAATGTCACGACAAGGCAAACAATGACTTCATGTTCTCTACATCTGCATGACTTAACCCAACAGCTAGAGTTTGGGATCTTATTTTACTTACACTGCAGGAGTCTCTTCCACCTTGGAGGCTTCCGGCACAAATCATATTCAGTTCAATCACAGGGTTATAATTATAGTGCCTTTGATCGTTGCAGATTTTTCTGTCTATGACGGTGACATTGACCTCTCTCAAAATATCAGACGGAGGTGAATTATTGTAAAACATACCCCACCCTGCAACTCGACACACAGTTCCCGGTTTCACATCATCCCCCAATTTAGGGAGAGGAAGGATAGCCACGTTTTTATTAATTGTTGCTTTTTTGTTCAGCTGTTGGAAGACAAGCAAAAAGTTAACAGAATGAGATAATTAAGAATTTCATCCAATAAAAATGAATTAAAAAAATAAAAATTTCACATTTTTATTTAAATTCTAGCCCAACCCTCAGGGACCCCCCCCCCCCCCCCTTACGCAGCTACAGTCTGTAGTTATCGGGGCACTGAGAAAGGTTTCCATGTAGGTGGCCAGACTGTAGGAGCTTCTGTGACTTCTAAGACAATCAAAAGTATAATCAAAGGTTCGTACCTTTAGAAGTTTAAGATCACCCTCATGCGTGTCCTGGTCATAGCATGGATAGGGAAACTCTTGCTTAACAAACAGGATCTGTTTTTCAGGCTCTTTCTTGGTTATTGAGTGAGCCCCAAGAATGACCCGGGATCTTCTGTTCCTGAAAACAGACACAACACCGTTAATTTGGTTTACTCTTTAAATCAGAAGCTGAGCATATTATGTGCTGATCAGTTTCATTGTCCCATATGTAAATATGCTTGCTGTGAAAATACTTGTTTGTGGCTCAGAAAAAAATGTGTACTTTAAAGAATAAAAAGTGAATTGTTTATGAATTTATCATTACCATTATCATCATGATCACCTGCAGCTTATTTATAGCAAGCTAAACTAGTTTCACTGAAAAACAAATGATAAGAGAATTCCATGGCAGCTAAGCCAAGTCTTGGGATCTTTGTTGGGGTTTTACTGCTGTCCTCTCAACCTTCCTTTAGTTGTCATAGAGAATCAGGTTGCAGATGACTGGAAAACAGAGGTCTCAGTAGTCTAGAGACAAAAGCAAAAGACACTCGATAGTTGTAGACTAATGCACTGAAGAAATCTTTGTAAGAGAACAGCAGACTTAAATGGGAAAGCTTTCAGAGATAGATTGCTTAGTGGAAGACCCTATTTGCATGGCATTGAGTGTGTGTTTGAGGGGATGGTGGTCTGCAGGAGGGTCCCAGCATTCTTTCCTTTTATTACTCCACGCTAAAGGTTCATTTTGGTTAATAAAATCAAGATCCTTTCTGATGCATTAATGATGAAGGCCATTATCACTCACATCTTAGTGTATAAACTACACCAACCATATATTCACATTGCTGTTTTTCCATTACAGAGCTGATATTAGTCTCACTTAAGACATTAGAACAGTGCTTTCAGTAGACTATACTTTGATGATGAAATGTTCTATAAATCTGCACTGTCCAATATGGAGCCCTGTGTAGGCTACTGAGGACTCGAAATGTGGCGAGACCGAGGACCTAAATTTGTAATTTGATTTAACTTTAATTAATGTAAATGTATATAGCCATAGGTAATTTACATAGCCAAAATGATAGTGGCTATCATAATAGACAGCCCAGGTTTAGAAGCTTGATTTAGGGAGCGGAGAAAAGACCAGCCCTGGAAGAGGTTTGAAGGCAGTGGTTGACAGTGGTTAAGAGATGGCTGCAGGAGTGAGAAATTCATAAGCAAAACAGGAAGGCATTCAAAAGAAGCTTTCTCTACTTGACAGTGGTGCTCAGGCCCCTGAGGGGACACTGAAATTTTCACCCTTCCGCACCATCATGAAGTCAAGGGGCTGAGTCTGGGCTCAACTCCCTTTTGGGGTAAAGCAAGTTGTCAAAGATGTAAGCGATGTAAAGATCCTGTGGCTTTAGTGGTATTTACTCTCTTCATTAATATTCCCCCAAGTTAGAATAGCTCCACAAATGTTTTTTTGAACCCAAGCACTTACAGGTTACAGTGAGCTGCAGTCAATACCCAGTCCTTTGCAATCAAAGCCCCGGCACAGATATTTTCCCCTTGAAGTAGCACCATGTAGGGTCTTGAGTGAGGAGTCACTTGATTTCCTCCAATAATTTTTACACAGAGATCTGTTAAAAGGAAAAAGACAAGTCATATCAGTGACCCCTCCAAAGAGTTCTACCTAAAGCCATGTTTCTAAGACTAGACATGCATTTCCCACTTAGACAGGAGGGGAGATGAGGGCATCCTCCCCATCTTCATGTGGATTTCAGATATCTGAATGTAAATCCCATTCCTGTTGGACTTTCTGAGAAGGTCCTGCTCTTTCATCCACAGAAACCATGCCTTTGGCTGTTCCAGGGATTATCAGGCTGGAAATCTGTCACAGCCGCTGACCTCAGGCCTCAGGGCTTGCAAAGGCAGACAACTGTGCATGGGTTTAAACCAGTAACACAAGGAGCTGCTGGTGATGATGACAACCTTGAGTGCTCTCCCACACCTCTCCCTTTCTGGCTAAGTATTAATCTGGGGAAGCAGAGTGGCTTTTAGAAGTTTGGAAACCACGCTTTTTGCCCCAAGCCCTTGCAAAACCCCACAGCTTACAAACTGATATTAGTACCTTTTAGCTGTGACCCTACCCTTGAGTTCTTTGGTCATTTTGAGACTTTTGCTTATTGAAATTTGCACTCTTCTCATTCATAAATTGAGAGAATAATATCTTTTGCACCTGAAGCTCCCCTTCAATCTCCAGACTGAACCACATGGCTTAATTTAAGCCCTTTTCCGATGAAGAGAGGAGAGAAGATGCTATAGGGAGAGAATTCTGCCTTAGTAAAATTTCTTTGGTGATAGAACAAGAGTAGAGATTCACTATTAGCGAACAGTGAGACCAAAGCATGAGGCAAACCATACATGTTCGTTGAGAGGATCTTGTGCCCATGTGATATACTCTCAGCACCACCTTCCTACACCAGATGTTCTTGGATTCTCCCCAAACATTTCTCCTGACCATTGGCTGGGACTCAGGTTTGCTTCAATAGGGCACAGTGCCTGTTACTCCATTATTAAAGCTAACTCATTGCCAGATTTACAATGAGGTGTAAATGATGAGAGTGGGGGAAGGGGAAGTGGGTTTCCAGAAGGCAGCTGGGAAGGGGAAGCCCTAGACTCTAGAAGTAAAACGATAAGGAACTTAGAGAAACCAAGAGAACTTCACCTACATCTCAATTTTCCTGGGGTGTATCACAAATAGATGGATTTCAAAGATGCATCTTTGGACTGTCTGGGCTGCAGAAATCATAAACTCAGTATAATACTTCGTTTTGCAGAGTCCTGTGTTTGGTGAGCACAAATACCACCTCAGAAAAAGTCCCCATATCCCACAACCTAGGATTCGGGAATAGGATTTAGAGCAGGTGAGAAGCTTTTAAAACTAGCAATTCTTGGTTCCCACCCAGAATCACAATAAATTAAAATCACTCGGGCTGGGATATCAGCATTGTTTCAAGCCCTCCAGAGGATTCTAACGTGTAGAAGGATTGAGACTTCCCGTCCAGAGCATCAAGTCTTGCTTTGCTGTGTCTGTTCCTTTTAGGGACCCACATTGCTCTCTCTGGCCACAGGAAACAAAGAGTAAGTTGCTTTTGTTGTTTCCTTTGAAGAAAAGATAAGATTGGATTCTTAAAATCTGCTCTGTTTTCACTGTTGTGGAGGGTTTAACATGCCTGAACATAGTCGTGCTATGCCATACTTATAATACTCTGCCCACCCTTTTGTTTCGAATGCCCTGTAACCTTATTATTTCTAAAACTTTTAGGTGCAAGATAAACCAGAGAACTTCCTTGGGAATTTTTGGTAAGATAGGTTGTTGCATCAGCCTCTGCCCACCACTTCCATCTCCAAAAGCTGCCAGAATGTGGGGAAAACCCATGGCTGCTTCACATTTGTCAGCACAGTTCAGCCTAGCCCCAGAGTGCTTTTCACTGCCTAGAAAGTTTTTAAGGAACATCCAGAGCTACCCCGGGGCCGTTACCCTTCTACTGATAATCCCATGACTTTTGCAGCGTTTCAAACTGATGCATGTGCAACTCACACAAAACCAGGCAAGTTGGTTACTGCTTAGTACATCAAAGAATAAGCTTAATACAAAATAGGATAGCACTTCCAAAGAGTCAAGGTGGGGATGGTCCCAATGTCCTAATGTATTCCCAAGGACACACTAACCTAGAGAAATAATGATAAATATTCGAATCATTCCTGATTCTTGGGGTGTGTCTAGGTCAGGTTTAGAAAAAAATTTATTTATTTGTTTATTTATTATTGAAGTATCGTCGATTTTGTCATTAAAGCTATCTATGCATTTTCTGCAGCAAGAAAGGCCGAGGCATCACTATTCCTTCCCTGAAAGGTCCTATTTGTTTTCCTAACTTAAGAACTTTTTGTTTGTTTGTTTACTTGTTTTTACAGTGTCCTTTTTGGCAGTTTTCAAGCCACAAGTTGGCAGCACTGGTGGTTCTATTATCTTTTGTAAAGGAATTGTAAAGAAGAAAGAAGGATGTTTTTCTTTCTAAAATAAAGATATATGTGGAATCCAAGAAAGAATGTTAAGGCTTGTGAGAAAAAAAATCTCCCCTTAGTACACTTAGCTAATACTGCCAAAGAGTCTGCTCCATTTTGCTTAATTGCTATAATGGAAATGACAAGAATCAGTCTTACCTTCAGGAATTAGAAGGAGGAAAATGACCATTGAGAGAGTGGCTGCCAGAAAGGTAGAGGAGTTCCTCATTGTGGCTTGTGTCCCCACGTCAATCAATGTGAAAATCTGTTTTCAGTTCTTGACTGGCTTTTATTTATATATCGAGAGTACAAAGGATGTGGTTTCCTTTCTTTTCTTTCTTTCCAATTTCAAAGTTGAGTATTAGGAAAAAGAAAAAACAAACCACAAGTGAGAACAGTGAGTAATCACTCATCTGCGGGCATGCTTTTCTTGGCTAGGATTGCTGAGGGGAGAGGGCTGTAATTCTACAGAGTGGGTGGGGACAATGGGCCCTCGTTGCCATCAGAACATAGTATACAAGAAGAGACTCCAAATGTTTCAGCTGAGATTTCGAGGATTCTAGTTTTCATCAGCAGCAACATTATCTTTTCTATCCACAAATGAAAGCTCTTTAAAGACTTAAATCAGAGATTGAAAATTGGTCACCTAAAAGTTGGTCACCAACCAAGTGTCTTTCTAGTCATCTCCTTGGATTTTGTAAGGATTAATCAGCTAAGGGCACGTGGAAATATAGGATGGAGGCTTATTTATTCATAAGCTCCTGCTTGGATTTTCCTTCCCCACTTTGTGGAGGGTAACTTACTGTGCCCCTGTCTGGAGTTTGGCAGGTGGGGACAGAGGCTGGTGGGGTAGGGAGGGTTAGCTCTCTCCAAGTCCCCTGATTGGGCTTCCCCTGATCATTTGATTTTACAACTTTAGACATATGGAAGTATCTCTGAGTTGCTCCTTCCTTCCTCCCTTCCTGTCTCTCCCTCCTATCCTTCCTTTCTTCCTTCCTTCCTTCTTTCTGGATTTAGCTAAGAAAGGAAAATGGGAGTCAGACATGGCTACTTTGTTCCAGTAAGGAAAATATCTCACTCTGAGAAGGATCATCCTCAGTCCCTGAAGGAACAGTATTCAGTGTGCTTTCTATTAGAAATGTCTTTAGCTCTTTTTCTGAGCTGAGGATGTGGTCTTTATTATATGACATGTATATGGTCATAGGTTCGATCAGGGTGTTTGGTGTTAACCAGCCATCCCCAGAATTAACACCCTGATGACTTCAGACTCAGAAGTTGCTTTTTCAGAAATCACATGACCTTGGAAGGAAGCCCTACTGAGATACCTGTGTTTCCTTTTTCCAGATATTACTAGGGCATCAAAGATGAATCATTTTCAGTAAAGCAGTGGGATACCCTGCTTCTGTTTTTGGTGAATAATTTTAGTGCAGACTTTTAAAAAAATCAAATTTTCATTGACTTCAATTTTAAAAAATCAAATTGAAAATTTCCTAAAGGAAACGTTGACAATTCTGTTTCTTTTAGTGTGACTATGGTTACCTTTCCTAGACTCATGTTGACTTTTAACAGCTTTCCGAGATATAATTTACCTACCATCAAGTTCACCCGTTTGAAGTGTATAATTCAATGGCTTTTAGTGTATTTCTAGAGTTGTGTAACCATCACCGTAATCTGATTCTAGTACATTTTTATAATTCCCCGAAGAAGCCTCATAGTCATTAGCAGTCACTCTGCATTACCCTCCTTCCCCCACTCCCCTGCCCTAGACAACCTCTAATCCACTTTCTGTCTCCTTAGACTTGCCTATTTTGGACATTTCATAGAAATGGAATCGTATAATATGTGGTCTTTTGTGACTGACTTCTTTCACTTAGCATAATGCTTTTGAGGTTCATCCATATTGTAGCATGTATTAGTGTTTTATTCCTTTTTATTGCCAAATAATATTCCATCATATGGAAATATCACATTTTATTTACCATTTCAGCAGGTGATATACATTTGGGTTGTTTCTACTTTTTACCTATTATGAATAATGCTGCCATGAACATTTATGTACGAATTTTTGGGTGGACATACGTTTTCATTTGGGGTGTGGGCATAAACCTAGGAGCAGGATTACTGGGTCATATTGTAGCTATGTTTAACATCTCGAGGAACTTCTAAACTATTTTCCAAAGTGGCTGCATCATTTTACATTCCCATCAACAATGAAGGTTCCAGGTTTCTAAATTATTGCCAGTGCTTGCTATTAGTATTATTTTTTATAATTGCTATTCCAGTGGGTGTGAAGCTGTTTCTTATTGTGGTTTTGATTTGCATTTCTGTAATGACTAATGACTAATGTTGAGTTTCTTTTCATGTGCTTCCTAGCTATTTGTTTATCTTATTTGGAGAAATGGCTATTCAAAAATGTTGCTTGTTTTTTTTTTTTTTTTTTTTTTTTTTTTTTTAGCGGTACGCGGGCCCCTCACTGTTGTGGCCTCTCCCGTTGCCGAGCACAGGCTCCTGACGCGCAGGCTCAGAGGCCATGACTCACGGGCCCAGCCGCTCCGCGGCACGTGGGACCCTCACGGACCGGGGCATGAACCCATGTCTCCTGCATCAGCAGGCAGACTCAACCACTGTGCCACCAGGGAAGCCCTGTTGCTTGTTTTTTGACTGACTTATTTGTCTTTTTATTATTGAGTTGTAAGTGTTCTTTGTATGTTCTGGATATGAGTCCCTTATAAAATAAATGATTTCCAAATATTTTCTCCCAGTCTGTGGGTTGTCTTTTATTTCTCTTGATGGTGTCTTTTGGAAGCACAAAAGTTTAAAATTTTGATGAAGTCCAACTTTTCCATCTCTTTTATCACTTGTGCCTTTAGTTTCACATCTTAAAAATCACTGACTAATCCAAGATCACAGATTTACTCTTAGATTTTCTTCTAAGAGTCTTACAGTTTTAGTTCTTACATTTAGGTCGCCTTTTTAATTAAAATTTTGTCTGGCTCAAATTAATTTTTGTGTGTGGTTTGAGGTAGGGGTCCAACTTTTTTTTTTTTTTGCCGTACGTGGGCGTCTCACCGTTGTGGCCTCTCCCGCTGCAGAGCACAGGCTCTGGATGCGCAGGCCCAGCGGCCATGGCCCACGGGCCCAGCCGCTCTGCGGCATGTGGGATCCCCCCGGACCGGGGCACGAACCCGTGTTCCCTGCATCGACAGGCAGACTCTCAACCACTGCACCACCAGGGAAGCCCTAGGGGTCCAACTTTATTCTCTTGCGTGTGGATATTCGTTTGTCCCAGAATTATTTCTTAAAAAGAGTATTCTTTCCCAAGGAATTTTCTTGATCCCTTTGTCAAAAATCAGTTTGCCATAAACGTTAGAGTTTAGTTCTGGACTCTCAATTTATAACATTATCTGTCCTTATGTCAGTACCGTATTGGCATATGTCCTTATGCCAGTGCCACACTATCTTCATTACTGAGGCTTTGTAGAAAGTTTTGAAATTGAAAGGTGTGTGTCCACTAACTAACTTTGTTCATTCTAACAATCTTTTCCAAGATGTTTTGACTATAAAGTATAAATTCTAAAAATTGTGTATTAAGGCTGTTTATTTACATTCTTGGGAAAAATTTTAATTTATTCCAGCTGTGAATGAGCCATTGCAATATTGTAAGCCAGTAGTTCTCAAAGTGTGGTTGGTGAACCCCTAGGGGTTCCTGAAACCTTTTCAGGGGTCTGCAAGGTTAAAATTATTTTCATAATAATACTAAGGTGTTGCTTTTTCATCTGTGTTGACATTTTCACTGATGTCACAAAGGGAAGGATGGATAAAACCGCTGGTGCCTTAGCACAAATCAGTGCAGTAGCACCAAACTGTACTAGTAGTCACTGTATTCTTCATTGTCAGACACTCTCAGAAGAGAAAACCAGTTTCAACTAAGAATTTCTTTAACAACTGATGGGAACATACTGTATAGCATCGGGAAGGCTACCTAATGCACTGTGGTAACCTAAATGGGAGGGAAGTCCAAAAGGGAGGGGATATCTGCATGTGTATGGCTGATTCATTTTGTTGTGCAGTGGAGGCTAACACAACATTGTAAAGCAACCATACTGCAATAAAAATAAAAAAAAAAAAGAATGTCTTTGATGAGACAGTAGAAACAGGAAAATTTAAAAAAAATTTAACACATCTTTACCCTGTAGTAAATGTCTCTTTAATATTCTCTGTGATGTGGGAACTGTGCAAAATATGCATGAAACACGTTGGTTACACATTAAAGTACAATGGTTGCTTTGGGGAAAGCACTGGTGCAATTGGTTGAGTTGTGAACTTATCTATCTCTTTCATGGAATACTATTTTTATTCGAAAGAATGCTAACAGACAAAATATGATTATTCAGACTTGGGTATTTGACAGACATTTTCTCAAACATGAATGAAGTGAGCCTGTCGCTTTAGAGAAAACAACTGACAATGTGTTGCTAATGATAAAATTAGAGCTTTCAAGTGAAAATTAGAATTTTGGGAACACTTGTGTCTGCTATCACGAGCTTGACATCTTCCAAACACTTAAGGACTTTCCCAATGAGATGACATTAACAAATGTATTTTAAAAAATACTGTGCAATGAATGTGTCAACATTTGGAAAATCTACATAACTCAATGAATCGATATTTTTCAAGAAAGCAATGCATGCTGTTACATGCACTTGTGTTTGAATTTGCTGTCCTCTTTCCATGGTCATAGAGGAGTGAATCAGCTATTGGGGAAAAGGCCTGGAATCATATTGATGGATACATTACATAAATATTTATTGAACACCTCTCAGGTGCCAGACACAGTGCTAAAGGCTGGGGATAAGAAGCAAAGGTGAATAAAACAGATTTAATCTTTGCCATTATGGAGCATAGCGTCTACTAAGGAAGAAATTTATAAGCATGTGAAATGATTTTAAATTGTTGTAAGTAACATAAAGGAAAAAAATTGGGTGCCGAAATGGAGAATACTAAGGGACAGTCTGTCTCGGAGAAAATGAGTGGCTGACGTTAAAGCCCAGAACTGCCGGATGAAAGGGTGCCAACCTGAGAAAACCTAATTTGTGAGGAGTGAGTGTGTGTGCAGGTGTGAATGTGAGTGCCTGTGGGGATGGGGACATATGTGAGAGTGTATGTGTGAGGTCAGGTGGGTGGTCACAAAGCCTGGTGCATGTGTGTGTGTGTGTGTGTGTGTGTGTGTGCGTGTGTGCGTGTGTGTGTGTGTGTGTGTGTGTG